AAGGACAGCCCTCTCTGTCTATCTCTGTTTCTCCGAGTCTCCCCTCTTCCCTCCCATCCTCTCACTCTCTCTGTCTCTCTCCCTCCCTGGGACCTGCACTGTCATTGTGGTATCACCACCAGAGACCCCAGCAGGGCCTGTTCAGAGTCTGGTCCCTGACTGAAAACAATGGCTCCTCACCTGCCACCAGGATGTCCAGGGGGTCACTGGGAGCCGACCACTGGGAGGAGAGGTTGTATCCACCATAGCATCTGTACCGGCCCCCATGGGAGCTGCTATCAGTGTTCAGGGGGAAGTGCGCCTGAGAGAGCCCAGCCTGGGGCTGCAGGACAAGGCTCTCACGGAGGTCCTGTCCCAACTCCTTGTGCAGAGCAAATCTGTCATAGCCAACATCAGAGCGACACTGGAGGGTCAGGCTCTGTCCAGAGGCCACGATGGGGCCCTGCTGGCTCAGCAGGGAGGGCTTCCCAGACTCACCTGGGGAGACCAGACATGAATTGCAGGGGCTGCTCCTCCCATAAACCCCGTTCTCTTGGCCTGTCCCCAGGTCTCACAATCTCTCTCCATGTCTCTGGCCCAGGTGCCCCTGTACCCACCTCACCATCCCTGTACCCCCCGCACCAGCTCCCATGGGGCTCCACTCACAGCAAAGATGCCAGTTATGTATCCAGTGCCTCAATCCTTTGATGAGACAATAATGGGACTTACCTGGAACCAGGAGCTCCAGGGCCTCACTGAGGAGTGAACACACATTGGATCTGTTCCTGTAGCAGCCATAGCATCTGAACCTCCACCTCTGTGTAGGGCTCACAGGGCCCAAAGGGAACAGGGCCTGGAACTGCCCCCTGGGCTGTGGCTCTGAGTCCAGGGTCCAGGAGAGCCTGTCATCTCCTTCCTTAGTCAGAATGAACCTGTGAAACCCCTGCCCTGAGCCACACTGGAGGGTCACGTTCCCTCCTGAGGTCACGACAGGGCTGGGCAGGGCTGAGAGGCTCGGTTTGCTGTAGGCTCCTAGGAGAGGAGGAGGCAGTGTTTTTGGGCTCACACCTCCCTCATGTCCCCCAGGGCTGGGCTGTGAGAGGGGGACACCGTGAGATCAGACCCCCTTACTGAGGGCACAACCTGAGGCTGGGGCCCCTGAGTGTCCTCCCACCTGTCACCACCAGCTCCAGGGGGTCACTGCGCTCTGACCAGCCCCTGGGACTGTGATAGGAACAGCGATATCTCCCTGCATCAGGCGTTGTCATGTGTCTGATGGAGAACTTGGCTCTGTCCCCGGGATCCAGTGTCTTCTGCTGGTACCATGATGCTGTGCTTCCCTCCTTATACAGATGGTACTCCTCAGCCCTTGGGGTCCCCTGACACCAGATGGTCATGGAGCTCCCCCAGGGGATCACAGGGCCTGGCTCAGCCCAGATGGTGGGGTTGGGGAGGGTCCCTAAAAGGAAACCAGAGGCTGCTTTACAAAGACCTGCCCCTGCTGTCATCCCCCAGCTCAGCCCAAGACCCTCTCAACCCAGCACCTCTGTGCTCCCTCCTGAGCCCTAGGGGTGAAGAAAGAGGAGGGACATGGACCCTGCTGAGGACTCACCTGCCTGCACATGGGTCCTCTGGTCCAAACTCAGCCCTGGAAGAGAGTCCCTGTGAGAGATTTACACCCGGGCGTCTCAGCTGATTCCCTTCCCATCAGGGCCCCATCCACTGGAGCTGCCTGAGCATGGGGGAGTAGGATGGGCAGCCACCCCTCCTACTCCCCCTCCCTGTGACCACAACTGACCGAGGCAGAGAAGAGCAGAGAGGATGGACGTCATGGCGTCTGCTCTGAGGGCTTCTGCTCTGCATATGGAGGAGTCCTGGGCCTGAAGGACAGAGACTCACAGGATGTGGTGAGTCAGGAGCTGCTGCCTCCTTCTGGGTTTACACAGCTGTGGACCCACAGCCATGGAGGGCCCCGCCCTGAGCCTGACTCTGCATCTCCCCAGGATGAGGCTCACATGGAGTCCAGGTTTCAGGAGGCTGGTCAGCAGTGTCTGAGGTCTCATCTGATCCTCAGGGTTTCATGTGTCTGTTGGTCTGACTCCTGTTCAGAGAGGGCGGGACCCAGGATCTGTTCCTGACTCAGCCCCTGAGAGTCTGTCTCTGAAGAGCCCAGTGGCACACCCAATCACGGCTCTTGAGGGAGCTCATTTATGAAAGAACTAGAGGCCCAGTGCATGAAATTCATTCATGGGGAGAGGGAGGGTCCCTAGCCGGCCTGCACCATCTCCAATCTGGGACCTTTCCAGGCATGTCCGCCTGTCGATTTAGGCTGGATCCCACCTAAACCCGCATTTGGACATCAATCTCACAATTCAGGACTGATGGCCAAACCTGTGACCCTTCGGTGGTCAGGCTGATGGTCTAGTCTAACCTCTGAAAAACACCAGCCAAGGCCAGCTCATCACC